GTCGCAGCTCTAGCTACCTCAGGTAGCCAGGTGATGCTGCTGAGGGACAGGGCTCTCTCGTTTATACATCACCTCTTTTATGTCTCACTAATTTGACTTCCACCCGACCTCCTTCTAGTGTGCCCTCCTCATTTGCAAAGAATGAAAGGCTGAAGTAACTTCTCAGCCTCATTTCTTATATTCATTTGTGGCTATATGCTTTTAGAAAAACTTTTTAGCATGAACATTTTTAAATGAATAGTATGAAAGCAGAAAGAATAGTATAATAAACCCCATAGTAAAAGCTCTAAAATAAACAAGAAATCATGTACTAAAATGATTATCTTTTATGTTCACCCAGACCTAAATTTTATTTTATATACTACGATTTGTTTTCCTTATTTATTTTTTAAAAACTGGGGACAACATCCAATGCATATAAAAATATTCAAGATAAAAATCATTGTTAGCACCCCATAAGTTTCTTCATGCTCTCTCCCAGTTAGGGCTGCCATATCGGTTTATCATGAATTGGGTGACTTAAAACAGAAGTCCATTCTTTCACAGATCAGATGTTTAGAAGTCTAAAATCAGGGAGTTGGTGGGATTGGTTCCTTCTGGATGTTCTGCAGAAGAATCTCTGCAACGCCTCTCTCCCAGCTTCTGGTGGTTACCAGGGAGCCTTGGAGTTCCTTAGCGTGAAGCTGAGTCACCCCAGTCTATGCCTCCAATTGCCACCACCTCATCTGCATGTTCCTGTGCTCTAATCTCTTCCTTTTTTTTTTTTTTTTTTTAAGAAGAGGTTTCACTATGTAGTTCAGGCTAGCCTTGAACTCATTACATAGCCCAGGCTGGCCTCTAATTTGCAGTGATCCTCTTGCCTCAGCCTCCAGAGTGCTTGACTACAGGTGTGTGGTACCACAACTAGTCTAATTTCTGCCTTCTTATATAAGGACATCTGTCATTGGATTACGGTCTACACTAATTCAGTATGACCTTATCTTTGTTGATCTCTACAAAGACCCTCTTTCCAAATAAGACCACATTCATAGGTACTAGGGTTAGGGCTTCAAATATATCTTTTTGGCAGACATAATTTAACCCACATCATCAAGAGTAACAACTATTTGATTCTAACAGTGATAGTTTTTAACTTGCTTTAAAAAAGTTTACTTACTATTCATTTCTCAAGATGGAAACTTGTTATAATGCTCTGACTGGCCTAGCACTCCTGGGCTCAAGTGATCCTCCATTCCTCACTTCCTGAGTGGCTGGGAATACAGGTGCAATACCCGCCAGCCAGCTGGTTTATACTTTCCAGATCTGAAAATGCACAAAGGAAGTATATAGTATGTTGTAGCTTTTTTCAGGCAATATTTTATCTCTGACAGTCATGACATGTTTTTTCACACAGCAATATTTTCTTCTTTTCATGCACTGTGACATTCTATTGTAGGATATACAATTTATTCTACTGTGGATGGGTACTTACATGTTTTTCAGTTTCAGGCTACATTATTAATAACAATGCTGTGAATACTCTTGTAATAGTGATAAAAATATCTTCATTTCCTTGTAGGGTTACTTACATGTAGGAGTGGGATTGTAGGGTCATAGATATTTGTTTGCTATTAGCAGTTATATGGCCCCACATGGTTTTCTAAAGTGGCTTATATATATTCCCATCGGGAGTGTATGTGAATTTCAATAGTTCTACATTCTCATTAGTTTCGGTACTGTCATTTAAAAAGTTGTCAGTTCTGTTTGGCATGTAGTGGAATTCATGACTAATAAAGATAGTTTATTGGCCATTTAGATATTACTGATTTTTTTTTTTTGACACCAGGCATAGAACTCAGGACCTTGAGTTGCCAGGTAGGTGCTTGCTCCACTGAGCTATACCCCCAGCCCAATATTGTTAATTCTGGAAAACGTTTTCCTCATAAGACTTATGACACCAACTACTGTATCAGTTTCTACTCAAAGAATATTTCATATACCAGAAGTATGTGGGTTTTCCCTCACACCAACTAATTTTCCAATTTTCCAGGAAATACCTAGATTTCCTGCAATTCCATTATGACATTGTCCACCTGGAGATAGTATCAAATCCCACAAACTGGAGGCTTCATCTCATATGAATGTCTGCACTTCAGATGCCAATCATAAGTCCCAGGCTTCCTGTACTTTTCTGAGTGACAGACTGTAAGTTAGAGGTTCCTATGACTCCCTCCTTAGGTTCTACAAGTTGCTAGAACAGATCACAGAACTCAGAAAAATTGTTTATTTATATTTACCAGATTATTATACAGAACACAACTCATGAACAACTAGAAGAAATGCGTAAGACAAGCTGTGTACACCTCACTCCCACATGCTCTCTGGGCCTGCCACCCTCTCAGCACTGCAATGTTTTTATCAACTCAGAACCTGTCCAAATATATTGTTTAGGGGTTTAGTATAAATTCCATGACTAGGCATGACTGATTATATCATTGACCACAGGTGAACCAACTCAATCTGTACGCCCACCCATTTTCCAGAGGTGGGAGAGGGCTGGAAGTTCCAACCTTCTAATCACATGGTTGGTTCTGCTAGGGACCAGTCTCCATCCTGAAGCTACCAATGACACCAAGAATGACTTCATTAGCATTATTTTAGCTGAAAGAAATTTATTACAAATAACAAAAAACCATTTCACTTAGAAATTTCAAGGATTTTAGTGGCTCTGTATCAAGAACTAGGATGAAGACAAACATGTATCTTTTATTATTTCACAATATCACAGATAAATTACTATGTGAAGGATCTTTAAAAAACATTTTATCCACTTTTATTTTGGTTGTTTTTTTCCCATTGATCTGTAGATCTGTATTGTGGATATGAGTCCTTAGGTAATATGCTCACATGTATTGCAAATATTTTTTTCCACGTTGTTCCTGGATTCTTTTTATTAATGTGTCAACATCTTTATATTATAGGTTAAGCAAATGCAGAATTTCATTTAGAAAGTATTGTCAATTAGATGTCCTAAATAACCCTCCCAGCTAAACACAGTAAGGCATGTAAGATAATTTAAAATGCATCACTAAAAAATAAATAAATAAATAAATAAATAGATAAAATGCATCACTAAGCTGGCAGAAAAGTAATAATTCTGCAGAAGCCTCCAAACAAAGTGAACTCAGAGACTCTAAAAGTTAAGAATATGCTAAAGCCAGTATTTGGACTGAAGGTTTCCACTAAATCTTATTGTGAATCTTTGCTTAAGTCCTTTTGGAGCTTCTTCATACAGCTAAGGTCTAGGGGATACTTATGGTGAGGAGTAAAATGCCTTCTGAAGAAAGCTGGAGGTCCAGAAATCTATACCTGAAATATGAGGGCTGAAAATTCCCATATATAGGAAGGATTAACAGAAAAAATTATAAAGCAGCATTTCAATATCTGGATGTGAGCCAAGTTTCCCCAAAGGTAAATTATTTCTGCTTAGGGGACCAGCAATGTAGGATCTCTGTGGTGAATCACTCAGACTGCTTCACAGCTCAGGGGTGCCTAAGAATCCCTGAGAATGTGACCTCACTCATCCAGCACAGACGCACAGTGGGATACAGTTGCATAACCGTGACTTAGCACAGGTAAACATGCACGTGCTGGTTAAGACACTATGTAAGAATATAAATATGAGGTAACAACTTGTATAAGAATTGTTCAGTTAATGCAGGGTAGCTCTTGTGCCCTGTTCTGCTCCACATTGCCTGCTGTTGTTGCCGATGTCTTGCACATATGCATACTTTAACCTTGGCATTTTACCTGTGAAAATCTCCCTTGGACACTCTGAGCAGGCCAACACCTGGTGTAGTTGGTAGGACACTGAAGTGAGTGACCCTGTGGTGGTTGTGGAAACAGCACTAAGCGGTGAGGGAGAGCCCTGGGAAATGGCTGCGTGAGTGTCCCTGGCCTTTCCATGGACACCTGTAGTCACCTCCTTGGCAGCTTGGAAGGCCTGGGAGGACTGAGAAATAGTCCATTTGGAGTATTGAAAGTGATAGACAGACAAGTTCTCCTCCTTAACATGAAATGCACTTTCTTCTGCTGCAGAAGAGAGGCAGATGGCCTTTCTGGTAGGTAAAGCAGTTGCAGCAGGAAGAGGAAGACCTTGAGCAATGGCTGGCTGCTACAGAGCTCATGTTGTGAGGTGTGGGAAGCATGACCTCCTCCAGAAATATCTCCAGAAGCATAAATCACTGTGTCTGAGGAAACCCCTGGGGAGTCCCCTGGTTATGCATGTTAGACTGGCTATTTGTCAAACAGTCCTGGCCTAGGGAAGAAGACTGGAGGGCTGCCTGCCTCTACCCAGCACACAACATATGCTGTCTACAGCCATGGAGCTGTGGGAGCTGGCAAAACAATTAAAGCAGGAGTGGAACAGTGCCCAGGTCACTGCTGTGGCTGTGGGATAGTGGGGCTGATAACATGCAGTTAAGCCCACAGGATATGCCACATAGCCAGCATAACCAGCACCCGCTCTGTGAGATGGGTTCTGTAGGATTTGCAGGGGACAGCCCCAGAAGCAGGTCATGGGACTGTGATAAAATGGTTAATGGCAGTGGCTTATCTGGTTTGGGGGGATGTAGGTGACCTGCCAGAGCAAGTCACTATCCAGATTTGACAACTGAGCTATGTGAAATGCACACATGGCAAATGATGTTCACACTGCAGTGTGGTAGCCCAGATGAGGAGCTGAGGATGGCATGCATGCAGGACGTGGTCCTAGAGAGCAGGCCAGCTGGCATGTTCGGGTCAGTGGCAGCCCTTCTTGCCCCCTTTACAGGTCACCCAATCCATGATGCTGTGCCTGTCTTGGCCAGGCTGGGAGATGTGGAAGTGAAGCACCAAGATAACGTGAGATCCATAAAAACTACACCAGCAAAGGCGAAAAAGAAGGGGGATCCTGGGTGGACAGGGCTATTCCCCAAGGATAGACTGTGGGGCCACTGAAGGTCAGTCAGAGCCAGATCTAGATGGATCTGCTGGCTGGCAGCCTAGCTGCAGATAAGTTAGAAGGGCAGCCTTTGGATGTGTTGCTGACTCTGTGGAGGCAGTTATGCCCTGAGCAGAAATACCGGCCAATGGACCAGGGCCAGAAGGCCAGGCTGCCCAGTAAGGCTGCAAGAAGTGACACCAGCCTCCTTTTATCCTGATTATGAGGCAGGCTGGGGTACCTGGGTCTTGGGGGGTCCCATGAGACCAATATGGAATTAACTATTTTCTGTCCCCCCCCAAATGTACAGCATGTACTAGCATTGGTGAATACCATAGCTGAGTCAGTGCTAACATACAGCAAACCAGACCATTTTACAGAACACACATGCACAGAAGGGCATGGAGGTCACTACGTGCTCTGCAAGGCCCAGGTGACTTTGGGTATTAGGTGCCTGTCTTCATACCCATATGATGTTTATGTTGCCCCAGTTGTACAATACATATGGAGGGTGATATACTGACTGTGCTTGACTAGATACTATGCAGGGAAAATTCTGGTTTCAGATTCATGTGGTAAAAACCATAGTCCAAGGCCATCCATACCATGTACCATTGACTCTTCCATGGGCTACAGAGATTGTGTGCGGGAAGCAGTATTGGCTCCCTAGAGGCCATGAGGAGAGATGGGACCATCTCAAAACTGGAAAAACCTGGGGTGATATGCCTTGCACAGAGCCCTTCAGTATGGCTTGTGCAGAAGCCAGAAGGGTTGTGTTGAATAACTGTTTAGTCTCACCCTGACAATGGCAGTCAGACCAATTTGCCTTCGCCTAAGAGGGTAGGCAACAGACCTTCCACATGTTGCCACAAGGCTATGTGCATAGCCCAACTTTGTGTCATGGCCAGGATCTGACCACCTGGGCCAAGCCACACTCTGCCACTGTTTCACTGATGATATCATGTTAACTTCTGATTGCCCTAGATTTGGAAGCTGCCTCACTGCTGGCATAGGGGTGGGCCACAGACAAACACAAGGTCCAGGGAACTGGCTTGTCTGTCAACTTTTTAGGTGTTATATGGTCAGATAAGACCAGACCTATGCCAATTTATAGGCATATGTGGGCTTGCGAGGTTTTTGGCAAATTGCACCTAACTTCTCTGTTGTGCCCGTTATACCAGATGATCAAAACAGGCACGACATGGGTCTGAACAGATGCAGCAGAAGCTGCTCTTCAGGACCCAAAGAGGGCTGATGTATAGGTGCAAGCCCTGAGAGTCACTGATCCTAACTTGCCACCAGCGTGGATGATGATGGATTTGGCTGGGGCCTATGGCAAAAACAAGGTGAGCAGAGGTGCACTGATGGGCCTTGCTTACAGTTGAAGAAGGGAGTCAGGAGCTGGTCCCATGTTGAGAAACAGCAGCACTGCTCACATGCCTGGGAGGAATCACAGGACAGAAGAGTGGTGGGTACGCACGTGAACAGCGCATCCCAAGAGTGGAGTGGCACAGGCGCCAACGTCATGCACTGGGGGATGTATCTCCAACAGCAGGCCTTTTTCTTGGCAAGCCTGTTGGCAGCAGAACTGGCAACAGTTTTGGGACCTGTAATGTACATGGCCCAGAAACCCATCTGGGAGGATATACTACAGGGCATGACTGCTAGTCCCTTTACAAAGGGAAGGAGGGATCTCCGGCTTACGTTGGATATTCTGATGGGTTTTGTCATGGCACAGCCCTGCAATGGAGAGCATCTGCTGTCCAGCCCACTCTGTTTTGAAATCAGAACAGGCAGATCAAGTCTGGGAAGAGTTGCAGACAGTGTGATTGCTTGTAATGCATGAAGGAGACACCCTACATGTGACAGTTGGGCCATCTTTAGGGCGCTGATGCTCAGGATGCCAGATTGGGCAGAGTGACAGATGGGGCATCATCCTTTGTGGGGTGCTAATGATGAGACTGTGACCAAAAAGCTGACCATGTAAGTTATCATGGTTCAGGACATAAGCCCCTCTTCTCACCAGGAATGACTGAACAGACACTTTGACCAGGCATTGCAATAGTTCACCACTAGGAATAACATCTGACCAAAACTATTGAGTGCTAGGTATGAGATGCTACTAGGAATATTGTCTAACCAGGGGCAAGGACCATAAACTTAGCCCTCCAAGTTAAAGCCCTTTCTCAACATATGGTCCAGGCCTTGAATGTTATGTGTCAGGCTTTGATGTTGCTAATGGATGAATTGTTCACATGAAAAAGTGGCTTGCACAACTACACGGTTCTTGATTTGTTAATTTCTGGTACCTGTGCCCTGTTACATACAGAATGTTACACTTACATAACCCTGATCATTGCGGGGTGGGGTGGGATGTAGGGAACCACTCAGGCTGCTTCAAAGCTCAGCAGCATCTAAGGACATCTGAGGATGTGACCTCACTTGTCTAGCTGAGGCATACAGTGGATACAGTTATACAATCCTGACAGCACAGGTAAACATGCATGTGCTGCTTATGGCACTATACAAGTATGTAAACATGAGTTGACAACCTAAATGAGAATTATAAATAAAGATACAAGGATCTCACTCTTGCTTTTTGTGCCCTGGTGCTCTGCTCTGCTCCATGCTGCCTGCTATTGTTGATGTCATGCACACATGTGTTCTGTAATGTTAGCACTTCACCTGCACAAATCTCTGTTGGGTCTCTCAAATGGGCTGACAACCACTTTAAAGTTTTGTTTTGTTTTGTTTAGGACAGGATTTTGCTAACTAGTATAGGTCAGCCTTGAACTCACTATATATCAGAGGCTGCCTGTTGTATGATCCTGTATAACCCTACCTGCCTCACCCTACGTACTGAGACTGCAGAAATCCAACATCATGTCTGGATGGACCACTTATGATTTTTTTTAGCCACATGAGTAGAAAAACAGTAAGTTCCTGACTTATGAACATTCAAGTTGAAAACTTTCACAGATATGAACAGAGCTCACATCTGGAACAATCTTAGAGCCACGGAGAAGCTCCTGTGACTGCCAGACATTGCACAGTTGTGCTGCTGTACAGTGCAATAGTGTGCAGTAGGTCAGGCCTCAATCAGAGCCCACAATAACTGGAAGCAGGAGGAAAAGGAGTGGTGAAGTAGAGGGACTGCTAGGGAGAAAAGGCAGTAACTGTGGAAACAAAAGTGAGACAACCGAGATGAACTGAGGTAAAAAGACGGTAGATGTCACTCATGCTTTGGTTTATTTAAAAGGGAAAAAACAAAACAAAACAAACAGTGTAAGGGTACAAGTAATACAGAATTACAAAAAAAAATGGAAAGAAATCACTAGTTAATAATTACATATTGTCATCTTAGAAATAGTTGTTCAGTTACAGGATTAAAGCATACAAAGTGGACATTCAAACAGTGAGACTGCAAACAGTTGTGTTCAATGATCCGACAAAAACTCAGTAATATGGTCATCTATCATAACACACCTAACCACACTTGCAGTTGTACCCTTTAGAGCACTTTTTTTCCTCTCTTTTTTACAACAAAATTTACACATTTTGGGTTTTATTACTCCCACAGTTCTTATTACTTTTTTTTGGAAGAGAATAAAACCAAATATGACAAAACAAAGCTGTCAGTCAAAACCAAGGATAGACATAGCACATGATGTAAAAGCAGAGTACAAGGTTATCAACAATGGTTACCATAATGCCTCTTGCTTCCTTAAAAAGAATTGCCTATATCATTAGGTATAATAACGTTGAACAAAGCAGTACAGAACAAGACCAATAAAACCTAAACATTGGAAACATTACAGGACTTCAAAAGAAGATAATAGTCAAACCAGAATGGGCATCATAGTGAATCTTATTGCCTTCAAAGTAGTTGCCTAAACCCTCAAACTTGATACTGTCATACAGAACGGAACAGTGTCTAATCAGTCAAAACAAGATAGTGGGAGTAATACAGGGTTTCAAATCAAGTTAATAGGAAATTGAAAAAGTTACTATAATATATCCTGCTAATTTTTTTGATTTTTCCCCTTACTTAAAAAATAATAAAAAAATAATTTTTTAATGAATAAGGGGGAGATTGAGATAAAAGAGGACATAACAACATAACAATACAGGTCAAAGCATGACAATTTAAGCAACCTAGTGCTTCACCACCAAATAACCCAACTTTATAGTAGTTACCATAGTGTCTTTTTCCTTGAAATATTTATTTTTTAAAAATTTTATTTAAAAGGAAAAAGAGAAAAACACAAAACAAAACAAAACGGTGTAAGGGTACACGTAATACAGAACTACAAAAAAAAAAAAACAGTAAGAAATCACCAGTTAATAGATTACATATTATCATCTTAGAAATAGTTGCTCAAATCACAGTATCAAAGAATACAAAGTGGACATTCAAACAGTGAGACTGCAAACAGTTGTGTTCAATGATCCAACCAAAAACATTAATATGGTCAGCTTTTTCACACCCCTAAACACACTTGCTGTTGTATCCTTTAGAGCTCTTTTTTTCCCCTCTCTTTTTTACAACAAAATTTACACATTTTGGGTTTTATTACTCCTTAGTTCTTATTACTTTTTTGCGGGGGAGAGAATAAAGTCAAATATGGTAAAACAAAGGTGTCAGTCAAAACCAAGGATAGACATAGCACATGATGTAAAACAGAGTACAAGGTTATCAACAATGGTTATCAACGATGTCTCTTGTTTCCTTAAAAAGAATTGTCTATCTCATTAGATATTATAAAGCTGAACAAAACAGTAGAGAACAAGACCAATAAAACTTAACCATTGTAAACATTACAGGACTTCCAAAGGAGACAATAGTCAAACCAGAATGGGCATCTTAGTGAATCTTATTGCCTTCAAAGTAGTTGCCTATACCCTCAAACTTGATACTATCATACAGAGTGGAACAGAGTCTAATCAGTCAAAACAAGATTGTGGGAGTATTACAGGACTTCAAAACAAGTTAATAGGAAATCAAAAAAAGTTACTATTATATATCCTGCTAATTTTTAAAATTTTTCCCCTTAATTAAAACAAACATAAGAAATAACTAAATAATTTTTTTAAGGAATAAGGGAGAGATTGAGATAAAAGAGGACATAACAATATAACAATACAGGTCAAAGCATGACTGTTTCAGCAACCTAGTGCT